TTTTTTTTATTTAACTGAACCAGACCAGGCCCCACTAAAAAAAAAAAAAAAAAAAAAAAACCCAGCTGCAAACTAGGTTATATTAACTGAATAGTAAAGAAAAGGTGAGTCACTTAGAAACAAGTGTCACTTTAACATGACTTATAATAGAGTAACCAAAAAAACCCCAAAACATATCTGACTGGTAGGAGCCAATAATTTAAATACTTCCTCATATAATGGATATGGTCTAACTATAAAAAGGAGTCTGTCCATCTAGGTAACTGATTCAAGTAGAATCACTCTGAGAGACACTCTCAAGTCTTGTATCCCTGATTCTAAATATGTTATTTACACCATAAACCTGACAGGGGAACTCTAACTCTCTAGAGCAAGGGAATAAAAACATAACAATGGGAAGGGAAAAGTGATAAGAACATAAAATATGGATAGGAATAGAAATAGAGATTTTTTTTAAATGAGACATTAAATCCATGATATTAATACAGTAGTTTTATAATGGGCCTTTAATGTTAAGTATAATGATCAATTTTGAAATCACTGTGTGAGATGCTTTGCTTGCTTTTTAAGGTATTATAGTATACTTGTGAAAAGGTATTTGAGTGAATTTTCAAAGTTTAAATGCTTGAAAAATATAATTTATACAATAAATACATTTTTGTTACTGGTATAGTGTGTAAGCAAATATCATAGTAGCTTAAAGATTAATAATCTAGACAAAGCATGAATAAAAGTATTACTCTTCACATCCGAATGCCCCTCTGACATTAAAAAATCTATCAAGACAAAAAAGGAACAAATTACCTTGACGACTCTTTGACAGCATTATGACTCAGAGTACCAAATAAATCTTTCCTTTTGACTGCTGACTTTCTTCCCCTTCTTTATCTTTTCTACACTTCTCCTCCCTCCCACAGACTTTTCTCTTATTTATGCTTTAAGTCTTCTGGTCAAAAATATTAATGACACAAAACTAAAATTATTGCTGATATCCATTTTAGGAGCCAAAAGCTGTGTGGCTATCTCAGTAGATGTCTATTATGACTCATAAAAACAAAATGCCTTGTAAGCAATAAGCACAAATTTTGAGTGATCAAAGTAAACATGTTTTTCCAAATTAAACATGATACCTCTTTTAAGAGAAAAAATAATGGAACTGTTTACAAATTCTGAAAAGAGCTGAGAATGGCATTTTCCAAAGTATGTGCTGCAGAACATCAGTCTAACGAAATGCTCATCAGACTGGTGTTAAGTGGGAAATGCTGTATAATAAAGCCCCTTTGGCAGACTGATAGTATTGTGAAGTCTTAGAATAATAAAATCATTTAATAGTATTTAACAAAACATTTCCCCAAATTATCTTACTAAATCAAAAAATCCTTTTAAGTAAGATTTTTCACATTTGTAGATGTAGTATTCTTTGGCACATACTTTATAAAATACTGGTTTCAAGTATTTCAAGTTTACCTCTTTTTCAGTCATGAGTCTGATGATTTACTGGACTCCTGGGCTTTAGAGGCTGCTAGAGATACAGTTTCGTTTGTAGAATCGAAGTAGAGATTGATAATAAAAAGTTTTGAGTTGCCTAAATTAAAAAAAAAAAGACAACAGACGTTAAAAAAAATTATATTTAAAAGAGCCCATTACTCTTGGGCAATTGAAATCATTCTTCTGTCAAAACTTTTATAACTTCTTAAGCTGCTATAAAGAATGATTACAAACTCTATCTTATAATGTTCTCTTCTGTAAATAAAATATCATGGGTTTTACACATATATACACACACATAAAGAAAACTATTTTTTTAACTAATGTGAAAAAGCATGTGAAGCTAATAAATAAACTGTTATCTTTTTGAAAACTGCTTCCCAAAAAACTAAAAGAATTGTATGTACCTGACCCAAAGTTACAAGCCAGTCTAACAATTCACTGGACTAACTCCCAGGGTGAATACAGTGCCACTTTCTTAGGCAGCCTTTATTTCTAAGTAGATCAGAGGCTAGTAACAGAGGTTTGGCACACATAAAAGCTTATATTCAGTCTACCCTACCATCACTTGCTCTTGTTATCTAAGACTCTGCCATTCTGTAGGAAAAATTTCCTTGGATTGTTTGAGATATATAGGTATAATTCCTTCTTTCCAGAGACACAATTACACACATTTATTAGCATCATGGAATTTTAGAACTTGAGAGGACCTTGGAAATTGTTTAATCCATAATCTGTAGCTGTTTATATCTGACAGCAAAGAGTGCAGGGAGAGTTGTACCAATACATCAGGTACTATAACCATCTGAGGCCAAGGGGTGAAATGATCTTCTCAGGATTGATCAGAAATAGGCCTTGTTGCTGCCAGTTGAGTATGTCTTCCAAAGCACTCTTCTGCCCTTCTATATCTACTTCAGGCAGTGAAATCCAACTAAACAATTTACTACCCACCAATAATTTATTTTCAGCTAAACCTATTAACATGTTACAAATTCTCAAATTCTGCCATTTTTGCTGCTTCACATCATAGAGTCCTCTCTTCCTTTAAACTTTGGTCTCTTGCAACAATTCAATCACCCATTATGTTCATTCCTCCGGCCCTTATTTTAAATAAAGATCCTTTTCGAAAATGTCAGTCAACTTCAGCTGCTACCATCTTTCAGCTGGCTTTTTTTTAAACTTTTCATTAGAGAAATTTTCAGAAATACATAAAAGTAGTGAAAGAATATAGTGAACTCATGTATTCATCAATCCGGCTTCAATGATAACCAATATTCTTGCATTCTTGTTTCATTTATTCCTCATCCACTTATGAGAATATTTTTGTATATATCTTGAACGAATACAGACTATTATAAACATAACCTCAATAGCATTATCATACCCAATAAAAATAATAATTTCTTACCATCACTTAGTATCTAGTCCATGTTCAATTTTCCCCAAATGTCCTAAAAGTGTCTTTTTATGATTTTTTTTCAAAGAAAGTTTCTACATATCACTCTTAAGTTTCTTTTAATCTATAACAGTCCCACTCCCACCCCTCTTTTTTTAACATGCCATTTATTTATTGAAGAAAATAGGCCATTTGTCTTGCAGAATTACCCACATTTCCGATTTGGCTTATTATATTCTCATTATTTAACATGAGTATTTTTCCATCCCCTATATTTCTTATAAACTGGTTACATCTAGAGGCCTTACTAAATTCAGGTTCAGTATTTTTTAGCAAGACTACTTTAGAGGTGGGGCTGTGTTCTTCCTACTGCATCACTATTAGGAGTCAGCCAGAGTTTTAAAGTGGGATGAACACACCATATAAGTCAGATATAAAGGGTGGTAGATATCAGCATAAGACAATCCCCCAAAAGAGCGGGAAGCCATAAATTCTGACAGTCTTCCTAACAGCCACACCAGACCTCTTTCAAATCTTCAAAGTGTCATCTCCCTCCCAGTTCAAGGCCTGGGTACTCTTAACCTCTTCTTTACTTAGTTAAGTCATACTTGACCTTCAGATCTCAGCTCAAATTTCCTTCTTCAGGGAAATTTCTCCTGATCCCATGACTAGATCAGGTATTCTTGTTATATGCCTTTGTAGCACTATAAAGAGTAAAGTATAGAGATTTAGAATTCAGAGTCAGATGGCCTGAGTGACTACCAACTTGACCATTTATTAAACTGTGTGACTTGGATAAACTCATTAACATCTTTGAGCCTTGATTTCTTCATTTGTAAAAGAGAGAACACCTCATAGGTTCAATTAAGTCAGACAACATGTAGAAAGTATTTAGTACAAGTGCCTGGCACACAGAAATGTATAAATAATTGGTAGTTACTGTTATATATAAGTATGCTAAACAAAATGGATCTTACCTAGTCATACTATCATATATTATCTTAGACTAAATTGCTCAGCTAACTATATGATACAAGTTGTTTTACATAAATATGTCTAGGTAAGATTAAATCTCATGAAATAAGCAGTCTACCTTTTAGTAATGGTAGAGTAGGTAATTCTGCCTCTAAAGACAATGAGAAAGTCAGATAAAATACGTTAATTTTTTTTCTTATAAGCATTAAAGAACTAATAAGATAATGAGGAATTACCAGGACAAAAAAAAAATTGAGAAGATGAGAACCCATTTTTTCCCTCAAGGCTTTTGCCAAATCCAAAGAAACAACTTTAAGAATGAGTCCTAAAGATCAAAGCCACCCCACCATTTAAAACTGTTACCTGAAAGGTCTGCAACTCTCAGGACAAGGGCAAACCAGAAGTAAACCACCTCTCCTATGAACTGAAACCTGGCTTCCCCTCCTCTGTGTCATTCCAGCATCTCAAGAAGGTCCCAAATTAACAGTGCTCCAAGCACGTGGCAGAAGCAAATGAAATGTCAGAAAAAAAGGCCTCATATTATCCCCACAAAAGAAACAAACCAAGAAAGAAAGACTGCTTATATTGTAATTATTAGGCACAGATCATAAAATAACTATGCTAACAACATCCAAAAAAATAAGAACTAGAAACTTCTGGCAGAGAACTGTAAACTAAAAAACAGAAAAAACAGATTTGAAAAAGAACATAAATAAAAAATTTAGAACAAAAAATTACAATAACTGCAATTAAGATCTTAAATTACAGTCTTAACATTAGATTAGAAAAAGCAGAAGAGAAAATTAAATGAACTAGAAGGGAAGCTAGAAGACACTACCCACCTTTTGAGTTCTCTATGTTACATTCAAGAAAACATAGAAGAGATCCCCTTCAAAAAGGGAATACAAGCATAACTGGCACCCAAGAAATAGAGGAAAGAAGGGAACAGAAGCAAAATGTAAAGATATGACTAAAAAGTTTTGAGAGCCAATTAAATATATAAATCCACAGTCCAGGAGCCCAACATAACATTGCATCAGGATAAAGAAAAAAAAATCACACCTAGACACATTAAAGTACAGAAAAATAAAGACATAGAGAAAATCTTTAAAGTAATTACAGAAAAAAAGAGATTATCTTCAAAGCAATGACAATTGGAATATCAACTAACTTCTTAGCAGTAACAATAGAAACTAAGGGTTAACTAGTATCTTCAATGGGCTGAAAGAAAATAACTGCCAATCTAAAATTCTAAACCCAGTGAAAATATCCATTAATAATAAAGGCAAAACATTTTCAAACAAAACATACCTTACAGACCTGTTCTATTAAAAATTCTAAAGATATTTCCGGCAGAAGAGTCCTTGATAGAGCTATAGAAAGGAATAAAGAGCAAAGAAATGGAGGAGTGTAAACACTCATTAACTACATAAAACAGTATAATCTTGTTAACTTTAAAAAAATATAACTAAAATGCACAATAACAAAAATATATTAGCTGGCAGTAGGGTAAATGGAGTAACAGTGTTCTAGTTTTATTTATAATCAAAGAGGAGAGTAAAGGTATCTATTAACATCAGGCTTTTGTAAGTTAAGGATCTTGAAATCTCAGCAAAGTGGGAATAAAGGGAACATATCTCAATATAATAAAGGCCATATATGATAAACCCACAGCTAACATCATACTCAATGGGGAAAAGCTAAAACCATTCCCCTTAAGATCAGGAACAAGACAAGGCTGTCCACTTTCTCCACTTTTATTCAACATTGTTCTGGAAGTTCTAACCACAGCAATCAGACAAGGAAAAAAAATAAAAGGCATCCAAATCAGTAAGGAGGAAGTAAAATTGTCATTATATGCAGATGACATACTATATAGAGAGAACCCCAAAGACTCCATTAAAAACTATTGGGGGCCAGCCAAGTGGCACATTGGTTGAGTTGGCTTGGGAGCGCGAGCTCTGAGCAGCAGAGCCCCGGTTTGGATCCCACATTAGGGCCAGTGACGCTGTGCCCTCTACAGCTAAGATGGTGAACAACAGCTCGCCCTGGAGCTGGGCTGCTGTGAGTCGCCAGCGACGGCATAGGCTACAATGAAGCTGCAGTGGGCGGCCATAAGCTACCATGAGTGGCTGGCAGCTGGCATGAGTGGCCAGCAGCCAGCATGAGCTGCCAAGAGCCGCCATGAGCAGCCGTCCAGTGGCCAGCAACCGATCTGCCTCACCCGGGAAGAGTGCAATGATCACAATACCAACATGGGCTAGTTGAAGCAATGTCCTCCACAACTAAACTGAAGAACAAAAGGACAGCAACTTATCTGTTCCCCTTCCCCAATTCTCCAACGCTGTTCCCCTCCCTCAATTTCCCAATAAAAATTTAAAACAACAACAACAAAAAACTATTAGAACTGATAGACGAATTCAGTAGGGTAGCAGGATACAAAATCAATATTCAGAAATCATTTGCATTGTATTTACCAATAATAAACTATGGAAGGAGAAATTAAGAAACCAGTTCCATTTACAATTGCTTCAAGAACTATAAAATACTTAGGAATAAAATTAACCAAAGAAGTAAAAGACCTGTACTCAGAAAATTATAAGACACAAGAAAGAAATAAAAGAAGATACAAACAAATGGAAACACCTACCATGCAATTCTACTCCTAGGTATTTATCCAGAAAAACCCAAGACATTAATTCGAAAAAAACATATGCACCCCTATG